GAAAGAGAGGTCAGAGTGTGGAGAAAGTGGGATCCTTGCTCCAGGTCACAGCCTCTCGGGGGAGACTGCTTTGGCGAGAGGGCACTGCGCCTCGGGCCCCGGGAGAGCAGCCCGTTTCCCGGAGAGGGTGCCACATGGCTCCAGAACAGGCTGCGTTTCGTGTGGACACAGAGGGACAAAGGGAGCCACAGAGAGAAGGGTCGGCAGAAGCTCTCCGTGTGCTACCAAACAGCTTGTGGCTTTCCAGCCAGCGGCACTCAGAGTGCTCGTCCGGAACCTCTGACAGATGGCACGGCACGGGGCTGGGAACCACATGGAGTCACACGTATGACCTCAGTCCTGGCTCTGCTGCCTACCGGTGACCTTCCTGTGACCTCAGGCAAGTTCCTGCATGGAACCCAACCTGCCCATCTCTTCCATCTTTTGCCCATTTCAAATCTATGCCCAGTACCACATGGTGAAGGAGCTGAGGAGCCACGGGAGGCGTTCCAGCCCTGCTCCCGGTCAAGGGCAGACAGTTTTATGAGCAGCTGTTTTGCAGATCTAACTAGCCGGGAATGGGCGGTGCAGAGCCGGCTGACCCGCCGGCCTCCTCACTGAGTCTGTGCCCTGGGTGGTGGACGGAGAAGGGCCAGCGTTGCTTTCCCGCAGGAGGCTCTGCGAGGGCGTGTGCCCTGCATGGTAGGCCAAGGGTTACTGGTCTAACTGATGCCATCAGAGTGCTGAGAATGTTTTCATTCCTGTTTTTGTTGATGAGGTCAGAGCCGGGCATGGTCTGTTGGTCCACTTTGGGTTCCTACCACAAGAGGAAACCCAGCCCTAACCGGTTTGGCTCAGTGGATAGACAGCCTGTGGACTCAAGAGTCCCAGGTTCGATTCTGGTCAAGGGCGTGTACCTTGGTTGCGGGCACATCCCCAGTAGGGGGTGTGCAGGAGGCAGCTGATCAATGTTTCTCTCTCATCGATGTTTCTAACTCTGTATCCCTCTTCCTTCCTCTCTGTAAAAAATCAATAAAATATATTTAAAAAATAAACAGGAAACCCATAGGTCACATCGAGCACTATGCGAGGTGATCTCTATGTTTCCTCTCGACTCTGAGATGCTCTAAGTCTAGGAGCCATGCAAGGTTCCGCAGGAGTTCCCATGACAACCAGAGTTCGGTGACGCTGCACTGAGGCACTGGGAAGGGTTCAAAGTGAAGAGAATGTGCAGGAGGCAGCAGTAGCTGGTAGAGGAGGTGTGGTCCTCACCCTCTCTCCTGCTCACCAGGGCCTACCAGGGCCTCGCAGGAGCAATGCCTGCCGCCCGGTGCTCACAGAGCACACAGCTTTGTTCTGAATGTGGCTCCCCAGGCTCTCTGAGCTCTAGGGATGAGAAAACAGCCACTGTTCTGTATCTACCCCACTCCAGGGTCTCCATCCAGTTAGCAACGTCTCTACTCCTTTGGAATTCCAGGAAAGACATTAATGACAAATCAATGACTCAATCTTCTTTTGCAAGCCTGTTCTGAGGTCTGACAAATCCTGACATTTATGGAATTATTCAAACTTAATTTCTTGTTGCAGTTTACATGTCTGTTCCTCATCCATCGCCTACAGGGAGCTGATGGCTCGCTGCGCCCTTTTCATTGTGACAGCAAAATGCCCACTCGTGGTAGTGGAGACGAAACCCAACTGCACGTGGGTGAAATGGTGCCAGTCAGTGATGCCTGCCAGTGTTGCAGGACACAGGACTGGCAACACTCATGCCAGTGATGTTCAACCTCTTTCCAGTCCTGTAATTGTCTGCACCCTTTACTGGAAAAGACGGCCCAGCAGACATGGGTGCTGGAGGTTGGGAGGGGAGTGGGAGCCATGGCATATTAGAACATCCAGTGGCAGCCGCAGGGACCTCTGGAGACAGGTAAGCTCCCTGACAGCAGGGAGCCAGCTGAAGAGCAGGTGCATGAGGAATATTCTGCAATGTCCGTCCTGGCCTATGAAGACTAGCTCATTAGCTAGTGAATTTAGTTAATAACAAATAAATTATTTATAAAATGGGACCTGACCACATGACAATGCATTTATGCATATGTTTTCCCTCAGCTAGGAGGCTTGGATGAGGAGAGGGAGAAAGTGGAGGGAATACTCCAGACCAGTGTTCGGCAAACTCCTTAGTCAACAGAGCCAAATATCAACAGTACAATGACTGAAATTTCTTTTGAGAGCCAAATGTTTTAAACTTAAACTATATAGGTAGGTACATTGTTATTAACTTAATTGGGGTACTCCTAAGGCTTAGGAAGAGCCACACTCAAGGGGCCAAAAAGCCGCATGTGGCTCGCGAGCCGCAGTTTGCCGACCACCGCTCTAGACTGTGTATGCTGTTCCTATTGTTGAGGGCTTCTAGGGGGAGGTGTTTATAATCTAAAGAAATGAGAAATACACAGCACAATGTGGCATCTGTAAGATGGCTTAGTAAGGGAGGAGCTTCAGAATGCCCAAGGCTCTCCTGCTCCGGGCGGTGGGCCCCTTCCCTGGGCTCTCCCTCCCATGTGCCCAGGTGCCACGGCAGGAGAGGCCCCTCCAGAGGGCAGCCACCCCAGAAAGATGGCGCCAGTCCTGGCACTGGGCACCTGGATCTGGGAAGATCAAGCTTTGGTGCATGTCTGCTTAGTCTGAAACTGGGAGAGTGAGAACCAAACATGCTCAAAGGATCTCACCTTCAGTCACCTCTTTCCTGACCCCCACCCCACCAAAGCCCACCGACCTGAAGATATGTTGTCATCGAGGGGAACCCATAAAGTGCCTGTCACCTGGGTCACATTCTCAGATTGTCTCGTGAGAATGCAGAGCAGAGTGTGGGCGCCTATGCGGCTGAAACGACAGCTCTGAAGTCAGCACGGTCAAGCCGGCTCCAGCATCGGGGGCTTAGAACCCAGGGCAGGTCCCTTCATGGCTCCAGGCCTTTCCTCATCAGCAAACGAGAGGAATGGAAGGATGCGTTGAAGAGTCTCATGGGGACTATGTGCCACCGACAGGAAATGGCCTCATGACCTAGTAAGTCTGCCTGGAACATACTGATGTCCAGCGGTGTCTCTAGGGGCAGGGCCGAGTTCCCTCTCAGCTCACACTCTCTCTTCCGCTAGTCCCGTGGTCGGCAAACTCATTAGTCAACAGAGGCAAATATCAACAGTACAACGATTGAAATTTCTTTTGAGAGCCAAATGTTTTAAACTTAAACTATATAGGTAGGTACATTGTTATTAACTTAATTAGGGGACTCCTAAGGCTTAGGAAGAGCCACACTCAAGGGGCCAGAGAGCCGCGTGTGGCTCGCGAGCCCCAGTTTGCCGACCACAGTGCTAGGGCACAGCGTGCAAAAGCTCTGGGCCTGCATTGTAGAGACTACAGCTTCCTGGGCGCCTGGTCCATCAGCCACACAATGAGAAGGCTGGGCCGGATGAGAGTCAAACTCCCTTCTGGTTTCAAAAGTCCAGTTCTCTCTCATCCGGGTCTTCTGTTCTCCCAGGTGCTCAGTGATGCTGCTTGATTGGCAGTCTACTCTGGTTCATGTCCCTGACTCTGACTCCATGGCACCGACCCGTGGCTGTAGTCGCGAACCAGGGACGGCGTTTTTATTAAACACACAAGTTGGGGGTAGAGAAGACCTACCTGTGTAGCACAGCGGCCGCTTCCTCCTCCAGCATGGCTCATCGTTCCACCTGCCGGGGGCCGACGGGCTCTTGATGTAAATCTCCACGCAGTCCTGGTTGTTCTTCTTGTTGTTGGGCTCGTGGTCGGCCCAGTTCTCAGCCTCCTCGGTGAGCGTCTTATTGGTTCCCACCCATGTCCATTTATTATTGATCTTCCGGATCCCAATCCAGTAGTAATGGCTGTAGTAAGGAATGACCTCGTTGAGGTAAGCAATTTCATCTTTATTCTGGATGGCCACGAGATCCGTGTAGTACTTCTGGCAGAATCCCCGGGAGGCATTCCACGAGTAGGCCTTAGTGCTGATATGATAGGTCCACGCTGCCACCTCTGTCTGGTTCATTATTTCTACGGGAAGGAGGGGGAGGGCCGGTTAGTCGGCGTTTCTAGCCACAGGGGCGTGAGCATGAGCACAGCTCTGTGGAGCTGGGTAAGTTTCTGACCGGAGGACCAGTGCCCCAAACATGACTTTTTATGTCTAATCTGGTCGTTTTAGCGAAAGAGTGGTTTCCATCTTTCACTTAAAAGTGAGCATGAAGCCACAATAGAAAAATGCCCTCATGGGGTCATAAGATACCAGAATCGGAAGGGACCTTAGAAGTCATCTAATCGCCTCCTTCTGTAAGTGGAGGGTCCTGGCAAGTCATTTGCCAAATTTACATTAAATGACACGTGAAAGGTCTGGGTGGGGGCCTCGGATCTGCAGGTCCCAGCTGCTCACGTGGAAGCTAAGATGCGTCAGGCCCCGGAGCCTACCTGCTGGCCCCACTCCTCGCCCACCACATTTAATTTCTTAGCCAAACAGAACTCACACTTCCAGGCCTTGGCACCTGCTCTTCCCGCTGCCCGGGCTGCCGCCCCCCTGCGCCTGCTACACTCCTCCCCTCGGGCTTTCTGTGATGCCCAGGTAGGCTTGGTGTTTCCCTCCGGCCCCCACTGCCTCCCCTCCGCCTCCGCCGCCCTGTTGCTGTGTGCTGTAGTGTCTGTTTCTCCGACCCGGTCCACGCCTGTGGAATGTGAATCGGATGGTGGTCTCTTTGGAGCTCTGGCTCCTTTACCGCAAGCATAGAGCTCGGGCCTTACCAGGCTCGGTAAGTACTGGCTGAGAAACCCCAGCTGGGGCAGCGGCGGCTTAGACGTCAGACCTGGCTGGCAGTCGTACACTCATCCCACTGCTCGCGGCTGTTTCTCTTTGATAAATTACTTCCTCCGTCTCTGCTTACTCACTTGTGAAAATTTAAAACGGGCCTTTGAAGGGATTGTTGGTGATGTCAAATGAAATAAAGAATGTGCCCTTCGAGCGTGTGAAGGGCACGCATGACGGTGCAGTGTTACCACAGCCAGCCGAGCGCAGCGAGCAGGGGCCGTTCCCGTGCGGAGAGGCGGACATCAGCAATCAGGCCTGGGAACTGCTCCCTTTCCTGTTTATAAAGCCTTCTTCCTACTCAACCTCCTCTGCTGCCGCGTGAGGCTCTTGGTGGCCCTCCCTCCCTGACACCTTTGTTGATTGTTCTGCCATAAGACTTTGTTCTGCGATTGCCAGGGCTGCGTTATGACTTCCGCCAGCTCCAGGGAACTCTGCCCTTGGGGGGCCCTTCTTCCATAATGTTTATTAAAAACTACATTTTAGCCCAGCTGGTGTGGTTCAAGTTGAGCATGGTCCTATGAACCAGGAGGTCACGGTTTGATTCCGGGTCAGGGCACATGCCCGGTTGCGGGCTCGGTCCCTAGTGGTGGTGGGGGGGGGGCGGGGTTCAGGAGGCAGCTGATCAATGATTCTCTCTCATCATTGATGTTGCTACCTCTCTCTCCCTCTCCCTTCCTCTCTGAAATCAATAAAAATAGATATTTTAAAATAAACAAAAAAACCTATATTTTACAACTGCATTGGCATAAAGACGAATCTATTAATATTGTATCCTATAACATTTTCTTTGACCTACTAGTAGAAGGAAATATTTTTTAAAGAAATTGTGGTCTGTCAGAGTAACTTGGACCTGGGCCTCCTGTGCTGGATGGGGAACTTGGTCCCAGACAGATCGGTCCAGTTCTTCCTGAAGCCTTATCTAGCAGTGGGATGGTGGTGGGGTGCCTTTTTCCTTCCAGGAATCAGGGCTAGGACAGCTCCCCATCCTCACCACAACAGGCTTCCATCCCTCATTTCTCCCACTTGGAGAAGTTACCCTAACCACTCGGGGCCACATGCAGGGTTAGCAGAAATGTTACCAGAGAGCAGGGCACCGAGGCGAAGGAGCTGGGCAGCTATGAAGACCACACCCCGAGACCTCCAGTTCCAGGTGGCGCTCAGACAGCGAGCCTGAAATGAGAAAAGAGGGCGTCGTCCAGAACCGTTATGCTGGGTTGCCATCCTGCCCGTTTCCACTAGGGGGTGGCCAAGCCCTCACCCCACTTCCTGTTTCTCGCTGCCCTGTATCTGAGTCCCGCCTGGCTGGACTCCGCACCAATGCCGTGTCGTTTCTCCCTTCATTCGACGCATATGTATTGAGTAACTATTTCATGCTATTTATATTTTTCTTCTATAATACGTTTTGTAATGTGATTGTAAAAAAGACACTGTCATTATTATTTTGCAATAAACTCCCTTTAGGAACTGGTGTGCCGCACCCAAGGATAATGGGAAGTCACACGAAAAGGGCCTGATCCACACCGTGGACTGTGAGCACCGTGGTGCTGGGCTGGGCTGTGGCTGTAGACCCACATTTGGCCTTCCTGCGTGGCCATTTCAGCATGCATCACAATATCATCCAGTGCTCCATAGACATGCATGTGTACATATATATTTCTACTCGGATATATCGCTCTCCCCTTGGATCTGTAGCCTGTATTGTTTTTTATGAGTTCCTTCTGTTGGGATCTCATCAAATCTAATAAAATTTTTAAAAAAATCTTTTTAAGTAAGTCAGTGGTAGAAATGCTCTTCTTGCCCAACACCATCGTGTTGCACATGAGAACACGGAAGGTTGGAGAGTCTAAAACGATGGATTCGAAATGACAGCAGCAGAGCCTGACTTTGAAACAAGAACTTGACCACTTCACTCTTTTACCTTCATGCACCTCCAGCCTCCACATCCATGCTGCGCTGTGGTAGATGACAGAGCATGCGACGGGCCAAGCCTCGCTGCTGCCTGGGTGCCCCTCCATCCCACCCCAACACACCTATCAGTGTAAACACCGTGTGTGCACTTGCTTAGCATTGAAGCTGTATCGCTCTTCCAGCCAGACTGCCACCTAAAACCCTCCTGTGTAGAAATTCGGAATTGCATAGCTCATACTCCAGTGATGGGTGTTGTGGGGTGTATGGTGTGTGTGTGTGTGTGTGTGTGTGTGTGTCTGTGTCTGTGTCACACGCACTGTTGACCACAGTCTGACTAGATAGTGGGGCAGACATAACTCAAATCAGGGCAAGTCTCCCAGGCAGTGGGTTATGGTTGTATAAGAAGCCTGGCACACTTCCACCTTGGAGTTCCTGAATATTGGCTTTGGGACCAGGGAGGGAAGATGGGGTATCTCCCCCTCATCCAAGCACTTCACATGGATCCTATTGACTGCACCTTGTGACGAGATACCTGGCCATTCTCCAGATTTCCACTTCACCCTACAGCACTGCTTCAGACACTGCCCCTTCTCTCCAGGACCAGCACACTCATCTGCTAACCCCTCGCCTCTCCTCAAGATTGCCCGTCTCCCACCTTCCTCTAGGGTGCAGTCAGCATGATATTCCTAATGCAAGCATTGGGTTGCATTGCTTCACTACCTACAACCCACCAGCTGACCCTGCTCCCTGGGCAGTCCATCCACTGTCAAGATGATACACCCGGGTCCTTTAAGACGGGACCTCCCCTATTTGTCTAGTCCAGCGTTTCTCCACTGGTGTGCTGCAAGGGTTTTTAAAACAGGCAATACCTGGCTACTTAGTCAGGGGCACTGCCTCTTTTGCCCTATGTTATCAAATTTAAAAAAATGACAACAGCCAACACTACAATAGCCGTCCACTGTACATGATTCAAAAGTATACCTATTTTTGCCCTAGCTGGTTTAGCTCAGTGGTTAGAGCGTCAGCCTGCAGAATGAAGGGTCCTAGGTTTGATTCTGGTCAAAGGCACATGCCGGGGTTTCGGGCTCGATCACCAATGCGGGGTGTGCAGGAGGCAGCGGATCAGTGATTCTCTCTCATCATTGATGTTTTTATTTCTCTCCCCCTCTCCCTTCGTCCCTGAAATCAATAAAAATATATAAGATATATTTTTAAAAGTATACCTATTTTTTGTCATATTGGCAAAAATATGTATATATTTTGGTGTGCCTCAGAATTTTAGCAATTAGTCTATGTGTGCCAGAAGGTGAAAAGGGTGGAAAATCGCTGGTCGAGTCTCAGCTCCTGATAAGACCCCTCCATTGAACCCCCCAACGATGAAGTCACAGCACAACGTCGTGAAGTTTCCTGGGTGTACTATATGTTCTCTGTGTCCTCGAGCCCAGAGCACCCCCTCCTGCCGTGTGTGCCTCGCTCTGCAAGTCCACACACCTCCTCCTCCAAGGAGCTCCCGTCCCCACGCCAGTCCTCCCCAGGATCAGAGCACCCTCCCCCTGGGCTTTTCCCACTGCGCACTCCAATGACTGTTGATTTATTATGTGCCATGATGTGTCAGCCTTTGTTCAAGGCACTGGTGTTAACATGGCAAAAACAGACGCAATTCCTGTCCTTGTGGAATCTATGTCCCATTAAGGAAGACAGACAATGAAACAAACATCAATAAGTATACAACAGAGCTAAACGAGGAAACAGGAGACGTAGAAGGCAGTTATAAGTGACAGGGAGGGAGTGCAGGTGGGGTCGTGTGACAGAGGGCCCGGCCCGGTGGTTACGTTAGACACGGAGGCCAGGGCAGGGGACGTGCCGCCAAGAGCACAGTGAGCAGAAGAATCCAGCGGCCAGAAGCAGGAGGAAGCGCATTAAAGACGGAAGGAAAGCGATGGTGAAGGCTCTGGTGGGCGCTAAGAGTGGAGAGTGCGGAGAACAGGATGTCATCGGGGTGGCTGGCATGGGACGGGCAAGGGGAGAAGGGGGAGAGATGAAGCTGGTGACGTTTCACCCTGGGAAGCAAAGCAGCGGGATGAGGCTTCGTTCTGCCATGAGAAGCTGGAGGTGGAGGGGGTGGGGCTTCAGAGAGGTAGCGATGTGGTCCGATTGCCCCTGAAATTGCAAGGGGCCAGGTCTCGTGCGTCTGAAATGACAGTCGCAGAAGGACTCCAATGGCCAGGGTTCTGGACAGAGAAGCAGCCTGAACATCTGCATCTGCCCATGGTGTGGGGTGAGTGAGCAGCAGGCGGCTGTGACGGTCCCCATGAGAGTGCAGAGGCCTGGCAGGGGCTGGGCCAGCGGGAGCTCGCACGGGGAGCACAGGTGAAGGTCATTGAGGAGGCAGAGCTACCCAACTTGTTGGCAGCGTCCAGGCTTCACAGCCGATGGAACAATATTTCCCTACGTTTCTGGGTGTACGGATGTTAGTAGCCCCACATAAAAAATACAAAATGAAACACCGTGAAAAAAAGAGGTCTCTAAGCCAAACAGAAAATTAGAAATAGGAACCAGAGGAAACCAAGGACATCGACACGAAGAATTAAAGCATATATTTAAATTAGGCAGCTGGTCACCATTACTCCGGGGGAAATGGCACCATTAAAAAGAAAGTAACATATCTAACTTTTTAAAAAGTCTGTTGGATAATGGCTGAGTTATCTCCCCACAAGAATAAAGGATTGTTTTGTATTCGATGTTATGAAATTTCTGTTTTGCCTTTCGACCAGAGAAGTTAGACATCTCGAAGACAGAGGAGAGAGTGTCGTCTAGGAAACCACCCTGAGTCTGCTCTCTGGGCCAGGGAGGGTGGGTCAGGCAACGGCAGGCTTTGCAGCCCTCACAAGCTCTGAGGGCTCATCCACAGAGAGCCGCGTGCCTTGCTATTCCTCATTTCCTGACCTGTTACCTGTCCGAGTCAGCCCTAAACCCCTTCATGTCGCCCCCTGCCCAGAGGAGAGAGACATGGACTTACCATCTCCTCTGCGCCCGGCTGGTTCCCCCCCAAAGGTGGGGAACCTTTTTTCTGCCAAGGGCCATGTGGATATGTATAACATCTCTCAGGGGCTGTACAAACCTATCAACTTAAACATTAGCCTGCTAGTTTTGGTCAAACATTTAATTAACTCACCCCGAATGCCTTGGCAGGGACAGTCCCAATGATTTCAGGGACTTTATAAGGGAGTCCATGAACTGGCCATTCCCCACCCCTGCCCTAAGGTGAGGTCGGGGGTCTTCTCTCAGCGCCAACTCGGGGGGATTGGTAAGCTCCCACTCACAGAGCTCTGAAGCTAGACATTCTAACAGCCAGTGGCCAGCCCAGGAAAATATGAACCATTTAGCTGCATTTTGAAAAACAAGTAATGGAAGGAAGAGTAAGATCTAGATGCCACAGACCTAAGATGGGTCGAGGTATAAATGGAAGAGAATCCAGCCCGGCTGGTGTGGCTCAGTGGCTGAGCATTGTCTCATGCACCGAGGTCGCCAGTTCGATTCCCTGTCAGGACACATGCCCCAGTTTCGGGCTCCATCCTCATGGAGGGGGGCAGGAGGCAACTGATCTATGTTTCTCTCTCAGAGATGTTTCTATCTCTCTCTCCCTCTCCCTTCTCCCTAAAAAAATAATATATTTAATATACTTAATATATTTTATATTTAATATATTTTAAGAATGAATAAATGGAAGAGAATCCAGGCCTGCTCTGCTCCTTAGCCCCTAGAACAGCCGTGGGCAAACTACGGCCCACGGGCCGGATCCGGCCCGTTTGAAATGAATAAAACTAAAAAAAAAAGACCGTACCCTTTTATGTAATGATGTTTACTTTGAATTTATATTAGTTCACACAAACACTCCATCCATGCTTTTGTTCCGGCCCTCCGGTCCAGTTTAAGAACCCACTGTGGCCCTCGAGTCAGAAAGTTTGCCCACCCCTGGTCTAGAACCTTGACTAACACTAGCACCATTTTCCTGTATGTTTCCATCCGGAGCTCCACCGCCGAGTCCTACCCGACTGAGAACGCCCCGCTGCTAAGCCTTAACCCCTCTCCACAGGTCCTAGGGGCCGGTTGAAGCCGCTCTCTGAGCTTGAGCCAAATTACACACATGGTTTCAGGTTCCTGAATCCCTGAAAGTCAAATGTGTTAAAGAGCAAAGGAAGAGGTCCTGCCTTTGTGACATTTAAAACAATTCCCGGGCGTGGCGCCCTGCACTGCACTGCAGAGCCCGTCTCAGCTGAGGACGCCACGAGGAGTTTCGGAGCATAAAGCCTGGATGGTGACGGGGTGGGGCTCTCAACCTGGGCCCCACGTGGAGGTTGGGGACCCCCCCACCCCCGTGGTTTTCCACGGAGCTTGGTGCTTATGTGGATGTTGGCGTTTTATCTGGGAAGAGGACTCCTTTCATCTGGATCTCAAAGAACACCAAGACCCAGTAGGCTAGCATCCCCCCGAAGCAGAGGAGGATCCGGAAGGGAACAGAATGAAGAGAGGGTGACTGCTCATTCATTCAAGTTGACCAATTCAGGAAGCCTAGGATATGCCAGAGATAAGACAAGAGTGACCCACATGCTATGTCATTGGGTTCAAGCTCAGGCCAGGCTGAAACCCCTTCCTCTTCTCTTCATCGCTCTCTACCCCTCTCCCAACAGAGTCCTCGGCACGCGAATTAGCAAAGTGCACTAACTGCAGTTGCAGCAGGGCAGTGGGGGAATCAGGTACGAGGCGTCCCAGAGGAAGAGACTCAAACACAGAGATGGGTCCTGCCCAGCCGCCTGGGCTGTCGCCCTGGGACTGCAGGAGGTACTCCTGCTGGGCTGGGGTGAAAGCCGCCCTTGTCTCATCTCGGCTCATGTTAAGGAATTAGGCCTTTCTCCTCGGGTCTTCCCTGGACCCAAGCCTCACTAAGCCCAGGCACTTTCTCTTTCTCCGAACCATGATGGGGAACCTTTACTTACCAGTAGCTACGGGCCAGGCTCAGAGCTACTTGCTTTCAGGGTAATCTCATTTCATCCCCATAACGACACTATAGAGCAGAATACTATTTAATCATTTCACAGAGGAGGAAACTGAGTCACTGGCAGGACTGAGACTTAGGGCAGAAACGGAGACCACGTGGACACGCCCCATCAGTCCTTAGACGCCTGGGGCTCAGAGAAGGAAATAGGAGGCAGGGGAGGGGAACCCCATCAGCTGTAGGCAAGCCCCAGGCACCTGCTCAGCCATGCGTTCAACCCAGAGAAGAGAGCATCCCTGGAGACGGGCCCAGGGATCAGAAAGGCCCAGGGATGGAGAAGGGTCCAGGGGAGTCCCCGTGAGCCCTCCTGGACGCCAGAGTCCAGGAGCCCCGGGGCAGACAGCGCCACACCTACCCGTGCAGCTTCAGTGAAACCCCAGCCCCAGCCCAGAGTCCCTGGAAATCACCTCCGCTCCCGACGGTGCGGGGAGGGTGGGTCAGGCGACCGCAGGCTTTGCAACCCTCACAAGCTCTGAGGGCTCGTCCACAGAGAGCCGCCTGCTTTGCTATGCCTCATTTCCTGGCCTGTTACCTGTCCGAGTCAGCCCCAAACCCCTTCATGTCGGCCCCTGCCCGGAGGAGAGAAATGTGGACTTACCATCTCCTCTGCGCCCGGCTGGTTCTGCCGTCTGCCCAGCCCGGGCGCCTCCTGTTCTTATAGTCTTGCTGCTGGCCCTCAGTGTCAGCTGTTTAGAACAGCAACTTCCTACTCACTTGCCAGAAATCCACCACAGCCCTTCCCATGAAAGGAGAGCTGATAACCCAGGAGCAGAGCTGGAGGCGGGCAGAGCAGTGGCCGAGGGGCAGGGGTCGCACTCCCACGGGGGATCCTCTAGAGCCGGGCAGGTGTGACTCACTGCTGGGCATCCCCGTGGAGCAGGCTGGGGGAGCACCCTCATCCGGGTCAGGTCCCCTTTGATGATGACAGGAGCCCCACTGTAAGGTCACTTATTTGGAAAGCAAGCTTTATCTTGACTGTAAAGGCTTAGTGTCCATTGTCCACTCATTTCGAGGTCCCAGTGCCTGCCTTCCATCCCAGCAGCTTCTGGGGGAGGGAGCAAATACAGCAGGACAATGATTAGGCAGGAGGAAAAGGCCACTGAGGGATTCTGGCAAAGGTGGGCAGGGGAGACTGCTGGAAGCAGGTTTGAAATGAAATGTGAAACAGACATGGGGCCCTAGCCGGTTTGGCTCAGTGGGTAGAGTGTCGGCCTGAGGACTGAAGGGTCCCGGGTTCGATTGTGGCCAAGGGCATGTGCCTCCTTGCAGGCTCCGCCCTGGCCCAGGACCTGGTCGGGGCTTGTGCAGGAGGCAACCAGTGGATGTGTTTCCCTCACATCAATGTTTCTCTCTGTCTTTCCCTCTCTCTTCCACCCGCCCTAAAAATCAATGGGAAAATATCCTCTGGTGAGGATATAAAACAAACAAAACAGACATGGGTCATTATTCCGAAGGAACTTCTGCTTCTTATGTCAGAAAAAGATGTAAATGTGGAAGGATCAGCGCATGGGAGTGGACAGCGTGTAGCGCAGAGTGAGACGGGCGCTGTGACCACACTGCTCAGGCCTCCCTGGCTGAGTGTGCCTCCCCCCTGGCTGAGTGTGCCTCCCCCCTGGCTGAGTGTGCCTCCCCCCTGGCTGAGTGTGCCTCCCCCCTGGCTGAGTGTGCCTCCCCCCTGGCTGAGTGTGCCTCCCCCCTGGCTGAGTGTGCCTCCCCCCTGGCTGAGTGTGCCTCCCCCCTGGCTGAGTGTGCCTCCCCCCTGGCTGAGTGTGCCTCCCCCCTGGCTGAGTGTGCCTCCCCCCTGGCTGAGTGTGCCTCTCCGTTAGGCAAGTGACTGAAACTTTCAGGGTCTCCGTTTACTGGGCTGGGAAGCAGAAGGGCAGTGACAGACTTGCCCTGAGGGCTGCTGGGTGAGGATGAGGCCATCCCCGTAGCAGCTACGGCTGCAGCCCCAGGTGAAACCCCTAGGCCCTAGGGGCACTCAGCCTGTGTCAGCGTCATTGTTACTTTTCAGACTCGCAATCAGACAACACAAGCAAATATCAAATATTTCCTGTCAAGTCAGAAAGCCGTCCCTGCGGCTTCTCCTCTCGGAATCCTGGCTTGCAGCGTTGGGCTGGCCTCCACTCCCCCATGAGCGTTCCAGCTCGTCAGTGGGCATCTCCTGCCTGGACTGAACCTGGAGGGAAACAGAAAGGTCTGGAGGGAGGCCCAAGACCGTGAGGCGTTAAGGAGCCGGAAGCTGCATCTGCACTGAGGACGTGGGGGCCGAGAGGAAGGGCATGATTTCATGGCAGAAACACAAAGCCTGGTGACGGAGGAGGTGATGAAGGAAGGAGAGAGGGGGCAGGGGCCTTGGAGGCAGCGAGGGTCAGTG